AAATATTAAATGTAAAGTCATGCAATCATTTTTTTAAGATAGGGAAATATAGGTGAATGTTTATCAGATAAAAAGGTAAAAAATATGTAAGTTATCTACCAAGGAAAAAGTTCAACTCATATTCAGTTACATAAACTTTTAAAATTTCTTATGAAAAAAGTTTAAAGGAAAATTGGAAATCTTAAAAAAATTGCAGCAAAAATAGGGCTAAGGGGGAAAAAAAAAAAATAGGGCTAAGCACTACAGCTTAAGAGATACAGTGTAGATGTTTTATGCAGATCCTAGAGTAAAAACGACAAAATATGCTCAGCAATTTCTGCAGATGAGTAAAAAACATGAAAAAATCGCAATCCCTTTAATAGTTAAAGTACAATGATAGACAAGTGATCAGTCATTGCATAAGAGAGCAGTAAAATGGCCAGTTATATATTCTAGAGGTGTAAATGTACATTGTTTACTAACCTAAGAATAAGGTCAAATTACTGAGTGAGTAAGTTAACAAGTCATCATAAATGCCTTCTCGGGGCAATGTTAGATAAGTAGCAGCATCTCCTGGTAGTTAGGCTGCTGACCTGCAGCTACAGGCTTCCTGTAAAATCTCTCGGCTTTTCTGTTTCCCACATAATAAAGTCAATGTGTCACTCCCTTACCAAAAAAAAATAAGAAAGAAAGAAAATGCAAATCTCTAGCAGCTGTGGGTAAGCGCCCTGGAAAAAATTCTGTCTGTAAAAATCTTGAGCCAATTATAAATTATGAAAATGTGAAATAAAAGGAAAATACATTGTGTGTAAAACTGTTCCTATTTCTCCATTTCTCCTTACTGTTCCTTTCACCTTTGTTCAAGTCAGCACTTGTTCAGACTTTTGCGTGGAAAATGAATGGAAATTAAGTAGGTTCTGGGTTACTTACCTTTGTTTTTCCTTGCCTTCTATTTAAACACAAATCTTTACTTCTTTTTCTGTCTCATTTTTAGTCAGAGATCCAAATAAGATCTGATGGCAAGAAATTACTAACCCCTTTTCCTGACACAGAATATATTCTTCCTTAAACTTCGGCTCAACCAAGGACTCCTGACACCACACTTGTTATTTAGCCAAATTTGAAATTTCCAATCTCTGTCCTGCCTTGAAGACATGCCCAATGTGCTAAGAGGCAATTCTAGAGAAATAACCTGATTTTCTTCATAGGGTGTGAGAAATCATCAGAACTGCATTCTCTGGACTTGATGGCTTGTCCTATACTCTGGGTTCTTCCAAGTCAGCCCAATTTTCTTGTTTTCTCATTCATGTGTATCTGTATGCATATGTATGCTGTGCAGTATATGTGCCAGTGTGTATGTGTGTGTGTATATTTGTATTGTGCGGTATAAAAACGGTGCATACAGGAACCTATGTGAATGAACAGAAGGATCATGACAAGGAAGGTGCTCTCCAAGCACTGCTGAGTGCAGAGCCAGTAGTACCCCCAAACATCACCAGGTTTTACCCAACAAGCCAAAAAAAGAAAAAGAGAAAGATAGGAAGCTTTCAAATTAGAAAAGAATGGGATGACATATTCCATATAGTGAAAGATAATTTAAAAAAAAAGAAGGAAGGTGGGAGGGAAGGAAGAAAACTCTTTAAAGTTAAATGTATTTCAGAAATAACATTCATCCCAAGAAAGAGAATCTGAAAAAAGGCAGGTAATGCTTACTAAATCTGCCAAGTTTCTTCAAAACTCACCTTGCTACTTTCATAGATTCTGAGAATATAAAACATTTTGTACCTGGTTTTAATTTTAATTCTTTCTCTTATAACACTGGCCAATTTAAAACTTAATATGCCCCTCAATTACTGTTCCCCTTTCTTGCTAGACTGTGATGTGGGAGCACAAGAAAGTATAACATGTTCCTACCTTCGAGGTACATTTAATTAGCTGGAGACATGATCAAATACTAATCTGCAGTGAAGGAATTATGCTTCACCGCGACTTTACCTGAACTATTTAATCTTTAACAACTATGTGCAGTAGATACTGTCTTTACCCTCAATTAAAATATTTTTATTTTTAATCACTGTGGTTCACTGCACTGTCAGTGATAGGGTTTCCCACATACATTCCCAAGCCACACCCCCGCTAGAGTGTGCATCTGTTTCCTGCGTCAGCATCTCAAGGCTCCCCCCTCAAAACACTTGTGTGTCCCTCCCCAACCCACAGCTCAGTTTTGCAGACCAGTTCTCAGAGTCCGTTGCCTCTCACCACTTGTTATTCCCTGACAAAGCTTCCTTCCAACCCACATGTGGAGAGCACATTGGTCATCATTGTCAAAGTGAGTGCAGGATCATGTCTGGGACATGGATGGTGACAGCAGGCTGGGACGGCCACCAAAGTGCCTGCCAGCTCAAAGCCTTGCCACTGGCAGTGTTTTGTTCTGTTCTCTGCCCCATGAAACTTTTCACTTGTGGAAATACCGGCGCTGTTCCACTTTCTTGAAGTTTATATTAATGAAACAGGAATGAGACTGTGTTTTTGGTTGTTACCCATTTTGTCACTTCAGTTTAGTGAATTGTGATTAACCACATGAGTTACAGTGCTGTCAGTGATCAGGTTTCAGGCAAAACATCCTTCCAACCCCTCACCCCCTGTCCTCTACTAAGAATTGGACAGCTAACATCACCACCCTCCTCAGAAATCAGATAGCCTTATCTTTCTCTTTGTTGTTTATGATGAAAGAAAGATGGTAAGCAATCACATTGAAATTCAGAATTTAGGGGCTGATGTGATAGTATAGTGAGTAGATAGAGTGCTTGCCTTACACATGACTGACCTGAGCTACAATTAACCCCTTAGCTCTGAGTGTGGCTATCTCCCCACTCAAAAAAAAAAAATTCAGAATTTAGCTGAGACTCACTAATCAGAAAGGTCAGGTTGTTACTTTAGAACTTCATTCACTTTGTGGCGCATTACGTCCTAATAAGGTCCAATTCCATGTGATAAATTTTCAGTGATTTGCATATTTGTGAAGGAAATCCTTGTTCTGTGTTTAACCTAAATTGCTTCCTGTTGGGTAGGAACCATGGGAACCTGAAGTTCAAACTCTCTGAAATAGTCAGAATAGCTAATTAGACATTTTTTTGTTTGTTTGTTTTTGTTTTATACTAGCTCCAATTTTATAATGGAGCCTAGACCAGCAGTCACTGGTGACTGAGCTGGAAGTGAGATTGGCATGGCTAAGTGAGATTGGCTAAATTAAGAAGAGAAATTATTGAAAACCACTAAAAATAAACAAGTTTGAATTGTCTTGGCAGTATGATTGCATAATTCATACATCCTTTCTTAACCCTAAGATACTGAATTAGCACATTTTCCTTGTTTCTTCCTTTGAATCTCTTCTCTCTCTTTTTTTAATTTTTTATTTTATTTAAACACTTTGAGATAGAGTATTACAAAGGTAGTTAAGATAGAGGAGGGTCCATTGTGACAATATTAGTTAGAATCTCTTCTTAAATGCAAAGTGCCAATGTGTTTTGTCACTTGTCCTGTTTGCTTTCTCCCCTTTACCGTCTACCTTTGGTGAGAACTTCGGAGCAATTATCTTCCTTGTTTCAAATCCTCCTAAATATTTTCCCTCAAATAATCCTCAAAATCAGACTGTTTCTTGGTGGGCCACAGGAATATATTTAGATGAACATTTGTCATTCTATTCTGAATATCCTGGGTGGTTTCCATTAAACCCTGAATCTAAAAGGTAAGTTAAAGAATTCCGTACTCATCGATAATGTTTTTGTAGTACTGTCTTTATTTTGAATTCTCTGGATATCTGAAGTTCACCGTTATGTTTTTCTGTTTTCTAAAATTTTTCACAGATGTTATTAAATATTTACCTTTCATTATTAAGTACTGCTTTATGAGCTTTCTATTTAAATTTCATTCATATTCTTTTTAAAGAGAATATTATTATACATTCTAAAATGTACTTGTATTTTTGGTGCTATTGAGCTGTGATGGAAAATACATGTGGTAAGCATACTGTTTTGGCTGGATAGATAGATCAATGATACATGTCTCTCATGCAAGAGGGTCAGGTTCAATCCCTTACAATTTATGATTTTCCAGCACTGCTGGAAGTGAGCCCTGAGCACTGAGTTTAGGAGTAGCTCCTGGGCACTGCCAGGTGTGGCCCACCCCCTCCTCTCTCTCTACAAAGAAGCAGATGTGTTTTCTTTCCCTAAAAGTCTGGATTTTGAAAGAGTCAAAAGACTGGTTAGGATAAAGATTGAATGCACATCTCCTAAATTTTGTAATGGTTTATGGTAATCACTACTATTCGAAAAAGGAGAACAAAACCAGAGCAGCGAGTGAATATGTAAAGCAAGCAGAATAAAATGGAAACCATCTAAGAAAAGGATCCTTTTAAAGGTTTATTTGTTAAATCTTAGCTCAGAGTTGTAGAAAGTTTTACCAAAAAAAATACACATTAAAAAATAATTATTTTAGTAAGAGGCCTGGAGCCATAGCACAGCTGGTAGGGCATTTGCCTTGCGTGCGGCCTACCCAACTGACCCGGATTCAATTCCTTTGCCCCTCTCGGAGAGCCCGGCAAGCTACCGAGAGTATCTCGCCCACATGGCAAAGCCTGGAAAGCTACCCTATGTGTTTGATATGCCAAACATAGTAACAACAAGTCTTACAATGGAGACATTACTGGGCTCAAGCAAATTGATGAACAACATGAGGACAATGACAGTAAGAGGCCATTAACCTATTAAGACACAAATTGAAACTATAGAACTTCCACATTGAATGGACTTCAAAATATAAGTCTGGAACTTCCTAGTTTGAAAAAAGGAAAAAACAAAAATCTTAGACTTGGTCATTACTCCAAGTCTAGAGTCTCATAAAAATTAAAAAAATTTCTCTTTGTGACACACTGGGTTTTTTTGGCTGGTACTATCAGCCTGACCCTTGAGTAGGCATATTTGATCTTGTACTCCCTTTAATTTAATTTTCTTTTTATTTAGCAATAGATGCTGTTTGTGCCACAGGTATGTTATTAGGCTACACTTAGTCTATAAATGATTCAAGTATTCTTGAATCAAATAATTCATTGTTCATATTTTAAGTGTTGCTACCATGCTTTTAACCTTACCAAGTGTTCACTAGTTCATAGTAAATTTTCTATAAATTACTGACTTATTTTGCTTTATTACATAGTTATATAACACATTAATTTCTTAAAAGAACTCCATGATTTATAGAACCAGATGAAATTTGTATTATAACTAACAAAAGTGTTAGATGATACTCATGCATTGCTATTTTTCAATACAAGGATGCTTTTAATAATACCTTTTTTTTTACTAATGCACTTATAATAATGTGATGAATAAAATGTAACCCAACTTTTAGAGGGTTTAAAATACGCCTTTGAGAGGTTTCAGTTTCTGGTTCTTATTACTCAGAGTAAAAAAAATGTTTTTAATTGGCAGCTGGTTTCAGGAGAAGCTTCCGTCTTAGTAGGAAAGATAAGAAAACAAATAAATCTATGTATGAATGCAAGAAGAGTGACCAGTACGATACTGCTGATGTACCCACCTATGAAGAAGTGACACCCTATCGGCGACAAACTAATGACAAGTACAGACTTGTGGTCTTGGTTGGTAAGTGTTTTTGTGGATCTTTCTAAGGAAATCATTCTATTTTTAACTTAAAAGATTATGTTGCTTAAAAAAAAATAGCAACAGTAGCTTGAACATGGCACTTGGAGACTACTAAAGCATCTTTTTTTTTTATTTTAGTTATAAATAAATTTTATTAAAGTTTTAAAAAACATTTTCATCACATATGCACATTTCTTCTCTGTATTTGTATTTGTAAACCATATGCCCAAAAGGAGAGGGAGGGAGGGAGAACTTGGGGCATTGGTGGTGGGAAAGATACACTGGTAGAAGCTTGGTTGTTGAAACATTATATGACTGAAACCTGATCATGAACAGCTTTGGAACTGTATATCTCACAGTGATTCAATATTTTTAAGTAAAGAAAAGTAAATTCTTTCCAAAATCTTAATAGTAGCACTGCATTGTAGCACTGTCCTCATGTTTTTCATCAATTTGCTCAAGTGGGCACCAGTTATGTCTCCATTGTGAGAATTGTTGTTACTGTTTTTGGCATATTGAATGCACCATGGGGAGCTTGCCAGGCTCTGCTGTGCAGGCGGTATACCCTCGGTAGCTTGCTGGGCTCTCCGAAAGGTACAGAGGACTCGAACCCGAGTCGGTTCGCATGCAACAGCCTTACCAGCTGTTCTATTGCTCCAGCCAATTTTTTTGCTATCGCTCCAGCCAAATTTTTGGTTCACACCTTGTGATGCACAGGGGTTACTATTGCTTGGCTCTGCACTCAGGAATTACTCCTGTCAATGCTTAGGGGACCATATGGGATGCTGGGAATCAAACCCGGGTCAGCCGCGTGCAAGGCAAACACCCTAACCACTTTGCTTTCGCTCCAGCCCCAACAGTAGTCTTAATAATGTTACAAAGCATCTCTAAAGACTGATGCAGGGGTGCCAGACAGGCAGTACAGCACGTAGGACATTCACTTTGCATGCAGCTAACCCGGGTTCCGCCCCTGGCATCCCATATGGTTCCCTGACCCAAAAAACTGGTGTGACCCAAAAAGCTGAAGAAGAAAAAAAAAGAAGCTTCTGGTATTTGTTGGAACTTCTGCAGAGGAAAAAAGAGTGAAAACTTAATGTACTACAATTTTCTGTTTGCCTTTAAACAATATATGTTCCCATTTGCATTCAGATCTTTGAAATATCAGAATTCTATAATAGTTAAAGCTGAAGAGTTTGTTCACAAAACTGGTAAAAGTAGCTAATAAATGTCTGTGGGAATTTTCCTAAGTATTAGGTTAGTTCGATTTGCATTGACAGTCTAGCATCTGTCCTTCCTGCCTTCACAGGCAGATGTGAGTGAGGACGGCCTCCGCATTGCCCTCTGTCTTGTGTTTCTTTAACATAGAGGCCAGTACTGCTGTCAGTTCATTAAAGTTCATTAAGCAACAGCCAAGCATAAGCCCTACCCATGGTAGGAGATATTGTCATGCATTTTTTCTTTAAAAGTGTAGGGATGCTTACATGTCAAGGATTAAAAACAAATGATTCTGGGAAGGTTCTTTCATAAAGGAGCATGGTGTCTCTTGTTAATTGTTCCTTTACAAACTGATGATGACAGTTAAGGAGATGAGAATACATGGAAAAGTTAAGGAATTACCCCTTCCATTAAGGAGGAGTCCTTTGAAAGAGCCCAGTATGTTTACTTAATTCAGACAAACACTAGCAACTAGTGGAAAATAGAAGTGTTTCTCCCATTGAAGGCACTGGAATGATCGTTTCATAGGCATTCATTATTTGCCTTATTTTGTTTGTTTGGGGGCCACACCTAGTAGTGCTCAGAGATTACTCCTAGTTCTGTGCTCAGGGATCACTCAGGTGGAGCTAGGGGACCCTATGAGGTGCCTGTGTCAACTTCATGAAAGCCCTACCCACTATACTATTATTCCAGCCCTATGTTGTTATTTTTTATTTAAATGACTTGATTTTTTAGACAACCTATAAGATATATGTGTTTGTTTTCTTAGAGACGGCACCTACAGGGCCAGAAAGATAGTACAGTGTGTAGGACCCTTGCCTTACACAAGGCCGACCTGAGTTTGATTCCCAGAATCCTGTTTGGTCTCCTGACCCCGCCAGGAGTGATCCCTGAAAGAGTCAGGAGCAAGCCCTAAGTAAGCCCTGAGTGCCTCTGGGTATGGCCCCCAAACAAAATTCCAGTGACTCCACTCCAGATTATTTAGAAATGCGTACTCACATTCACATAGTTACATACCACATTTCCCTATATTAGACAAAATAGTTTACTGATACAGGGGAGATATGGTATACATATATACAGTGGGCGGAGCGATAGCACAGCTTGCCTTGCACGAAGCCGACCAGGGCCCACCTGAGTTTGACTCCTCAGCCCCTCTTGGAGAGCCCGGCAAGCTACCAAGAGTATCATGCCCACATGGCAAAAGCCTGGCAAGCTAACTGTGAGGTATTTGATATGCCAAAAACAGTAACAAGACTCACAATGGAAACGTTACTTGTGCCCGCTCGAGCAAATCAGTGAACAACAGGAGGACAGTGCTATATATACAGTGGGTATTACATAGGCATGACAAGGAAATTTTACCATTTGCAACAAAATGAATAAACTTTTGATTAAGTGAGCTAAGTCGGAAAATACTGTATGATTTCACTTAGATGTAGAATCCTAACAAACCACCATTATAACAAACCAAGCCCATAGACACAAGAACAAACTGATGGGTATCCTAAGTGTGGAGAGGGAAAAATGGATGAAGTGGGTCATAAAACACCATATTTCAGTTACAAAATAACCAGGTCAAGGAGATTAAACATACAGCATGTAGCGATGTTTAAAGATACAGAATCTGAATGACTGTCCGCTGCCTGATGAACCAGCAGGTTACAGGATCAACTCGAGCTTTTCCGAGGGAATAAAGCATTTTATTGCAGTGTGAATAAAAGAAGGTAGGAACAAAGCTCAGGTCTGCCATTCTGTTGCTTTGTTTCGGAGAATACAAGAGACGCAAGAGTGGTGATGGCAGGTTTCTGTTGGTCCACGATTCCCAGGTTCAAAATATTGAGTAATAAAGAGGCTCAGACTCAGAGTTGGGAATAGAAAGGTTTATTGGAAAGTAGAAGGGAAAGAGAGAGAAGGAAACTCCCCAGCTGGGGAGGAATGTAGTCTAGGGCTAAGTTAACTAGATTTTGTGTGTGTGTGTGTGTGTGTTTATAGGAAAATGGGTCTTTACTTGTCAAGGGACAAAAAAGTCACAAAGATTACAGGGACCTTAAGTAATCTGCCAGGTTTAGCTCTTTTGGGTCATCTATTTGGCCTTAGATATTATCTTTTAGTCTCTGGAAGACTAAGATCTAGGGCAGAATAATGTTGGACATTTGGTAACTTCCTATTTATCATAAGGAGCCCAAGAAATCACAGGAATGTTAGTTAATTAATTAAAAATGTAGCATTTGGGACAGCCAAAAAGGGAGCTGCTCCCAGTAGCTGGCTAGGTCCACTGAGGCTTCCTCTTCCATAAGGGTATAAGGAAGTGCTTGGAGATTCATTTTTTTCTTCCAAAGAATATAGGTTTCAGGACAAACCAAATAGAGCCTTGAGATCATCAAATCATTTAGCCTTCTGGATAGCCCTGTGTTTTCTGGGCTTTTCTTCCTACTAGCATGTTTTTTAATATACTGGCTGCCCTGGAAACAAGTGGCAAGAACGAACAAAGGGTGTGTTTCTGCCAGTTGTTCTTTCCAGCAGAGCAGCTGTAATGTAGTTACTGTCTCTGCAGTGCAATTCCTGAACACAGAAAGAGGTTACTAGGTACCATCTTCTATCTGATCCACCATTTCCCAAAGACAGAAAATGGCTCCTTCCAGGGCGTGTGTTCAAGTGAGAGAGAGAAGCTGTAACCTCAGATTGGGAGGTGTTTTATGATCACTTAACAGAAGGTAGATTTGGGGCACATGGGTGTGCCCCCCTAACGGGCAGTTGGCCATATAATTTTAAGAAGTTCAAATCTAATCAATTTATCAATATCTGGTCTCTTCTTCCCTTTAGGATGATGGCAGGTAGCCATGGCCATTTGGGGTTATATAGCTGAAAATTTCTTAGATAGACATCTTAGTACTTTTTCATCAAAAGAAAAAAAATTATGTAGCACTGCACGTAGGGGCCAGAGCTATAGTACAGCAGGTAGGGCATTTGCTTTGCACATGGCCAACCCAGGTTCCATCCTATATGGTCAAATATGTAAAACTTTGAGGTCATCCTATATGGTCACCCAAGCACAGCCAGAAGTTATTTCTGAGTGCAGAACCAGGAGGAACCCCTGAGCATTGCTGGGTGTGACCCGCAAAGCCAAAAAGATTAAAAAAAAAAAACTTCCTATAGTCAGGAATGTTCACCAGCCTTATTGTGAGGACTGTATTCCTATATATAAATATCGTTGTTATATACCTGAAACTATAATTATGCTGATTAAAAATAAATACAAAGAATTTTAATTATAAAAGTAAAATATTTTAAATATTTACAGTGCTAATACTCTTTATCCATTTTTACTATGAAGCTTACTGTGCTTCAGTGTTCACTCTTTGGAATGGACTGAAAGTTTGAGCAATGCCCGATTCAGAATCCTCTTGCTTCACTAGGGGTCCCTAATCCCTGGCTCCACCCCCTTGTCTCCCATCAGCTCTATCTGAGCAACACCCCTTGGTCCCTATTGCATCCCTTGCTCCTCAGTCAAGAGGGGGACTGTGATAGAAGGGTGGAGAGTACAATTCTGTTTCCCTTTTCTTCTATATGACACTCTCTGAGATATTATAATTTTCAATGGTTTTCCATGGGGAATTTTATCAAAATAGAAAAGCAAATTAAAGGGTCTTCCCGCTCTCCCCCCGCCCATAGGAATTAATAATGAAAACCCTTTCCTCAGGGATGAGGCTAACTATAAATGTGAACAGGGCTCCAGAGAAGAATGGGAGTAAAAAACAGAAGCCGTTAAAGGTGACTGATGG